CACCACGCCACACATATCACATGCATGGGGGGGAAGGGGAGGTGTGTGCGAGCGAGTGCGGGAGGAGCAGGCGCAGCATCCATCCAGCGCAACGAACCATTCCAGAGCTTAGCGTAAGGGAAACCTACGTTAAGCTCCTCTTACTCAACCTGACCTACTAACCCACACCCCCCCCCCCCCCCCGCCTCCCTCCCCCCTCGCTCTTCCCCCCTTCCCCTGACACGCAGCAGCAGCAGCAGCACTGACTCGGGTGCGGGCGCGGTTGCAGCGCAGCACGGCGGAGTGCGAGTCGATCTCGCGGCCCAGCTGCATGGCCAGCAGCGCCCCGCCCGCCCCCACCACCGCACACGAGTTGAACGCCTGCCCCGCTGGCAGCACGTCCGTCACTGCCGCCCATGGGCCACAGCCATGTGAGGGGAGGAAGGGTGGTGAGGACACAAAGGACAGTGGCGGTGAGTGGAGGAAGCGAAGAGGAAGCGACATGGAGGGAGGTGGATGCATGGACGGAAATAGGAGGGTGTTCTGGGGACAGGTAAGAGAGGGAGAAGGGAGTAGGAGGGAGGAGTAGGGCGCAATGGAGCAGGGATGCAGGCAGGCGCAGCGAGGGGAGACGGGGAGGGATGGCAGGAGTGGAAGGGGGAGGAGTATGAGTGATGACGGACAGGGCAGCACGTCGAGCAGGTCAGCGTCCACCATCCTCAGCTTCCTCACTGCGCGCTGCAGCCCCTCCGACTCCACCACCTCCTCCTCCTCGCCGCCTTCTCCTCCCCCCCCCACCACCCCCTCCCCTTCTGCCCGCACTCCCACCCCCTCACCCCCCTCGCCCCCCTCGCTCCCGGCGTCAGCAGCAGCAGCGGCAGCGGAGGCGTCCCCGAGCTCGGGGTCGTGGGCGACGAGGCGCAGCATGGCGGGCGTGGCGAAGCCGAGCAGCCAGCGGTGGCCCTCCATGTTGTGCCGGTTCACCACCACGTCGCCCACGTACTGCGCCGCCACGCCCGCTAGCCCTGGGATCGCTGCCAGCTCCTGCTCCTTCTGCTCCAGTGGGGTCACGTGGGGGGGTGGTGGTGCGCGCAGGGGAGTGGACGGTGGGGGATTGAGGGAATGGGGGTGAGGGGGTGAGGGTTGGGATGGGCTGTTTGGCGGAGGGTTGTGTAGAGGCGGATGGAGATGAAGGATGGAGGGGGGCGGAGGGGGGGGGGGAGGTTATGCGGGTAGGGCGAAACAAAGAAAATGGAGGACACAGGAGATATCGGGGGTGATGGGAGGGGAGAGGGGGAGAAAGAGGTTGGGACGAGAGGGAGAGAGGGGGGGTTAAAAAAGGGGGAAGAGGGAGGGTAGGGGTGGGTGGGACGCACGAGGCACTCAGAGCCGCTGTAGAAGGCGGGGCACACGCACGTGTCGTTCTGGCACTGCCCCCACCCGATCCGCCCGCACAGCAGGCACGCCACCGCGCTCGAGTTCCCCCCCGCGCTCCCCCCCACCGCCGTGCCGTTCCGCCCCGCACCGCCGTCCGCGCCCCCCGCGCCCTTGGCGGTGTTGGCGGCGGCAGTGGCGGGGGCCTTGAAGCGCGAGAGGATCTGCGAGGAGTTGGCGAGCATCCACGCCTTGCCCCTCTCGTACATCAGCCCCATGCCCGCCGCGCCGCCCTCCTCGCCCACGTCCGGCAGCGGGATGTACGCCACGCGGAACCGCATCACGCGGTGCGGAATGCGGCGCCGCCCGAACAGCCCGTAGTTGATCGTAAAATACCCCTCCTGCGCGCCCGAGCCGCCACCGCTGCTTCTTCTACTGCTGCTGCTGCTGCTGCTCTCCCCGCCCTCGCCGGTGCCATCGGCGGCGAGTCGCACGTCCGCCGCGCGGGTTTTGATGCTGGGGAGCGCGGCGTGCAGCGCGGGGTGCAGCCACGCGCCGCACAGCAGCAGCGCGGAGCAGAGGAGCAGCGCCACGCACAGCGGGAAGCGGCGCCGCGGGAAGCGGAGCAGCGAGGCGACAAGGCTCGCGGAGGCTGTCGACGAGGGCGGCACGAGGCGGCGATCGGTCCCTGTGGCGCCGGGCGGCGCGGCGGCAGTGGCGTTGCAATGGCCACTGCTGCTGTAGCTGTCGCTGCTCACGGTCGCGTTGCTCAAGCCTGCCGCGCCTAAGCTGGGTCGGCCGCCCCCAGCCGCGTGATATGCGGACGAGGTGCGCCGCCGGCCGATGCCCGCGTCTTTCATCCAGCGGGGCGCGCGCAGCACGCAGGGGTGATGCGCGGGAGGTGGGCGCGGGGCGGGGAGTGGGTCGCGGCGAGAGGTGATTTTTATTGGGTTGCGCACGCATGCGGGGGTTGCGCACGCATGCGGGTGAAGGCGACGGTGGTGACGGTGAGTTGTCTATCTCTGAGTGGATGGGGGTGGGTGGGTGGTGTGCTGGTTGAAGTTGTGGCGCCTGGGCTGGGAGTGTTGTGCCCATGCCCAACGCCGGTGGGGCTCGGTTTGAAACGTCCTAGTTCTGGTGCGGCGCGTTTCTGGATAGTGTTACAATAAGCAACTCCATTTCCTTTGTGATGGTTTTTGAGCGAAAGAGGAGCGAGGTGGGAGCGAATCTCGCTAGCTGGTAACGAAATTGAGTGGGAGCGAGGTGGGTGAACAGTGCTGGTCGCCGGTAATTCATCGCAACCCTCTCCTAAGCGGAAATGTACCGCCCCCTGAGGCTCGTATGTGATTGCCCCTGCCCTGAACCAAGCCCTGGACCACAGCAGGCGTGTAACCGTGTGGACAGCTTCAAACAATTGTGTGTGTGGAGGAAAGCAGAGTCGTGCTCCCTAACACTTGTGATCCGCCATGGCGTCTGCTGTCATCCCTTGCTCTGCATCCACCATGTCGTTCCTCGCCTCGCCGCGCCCTCCCATTCGCTTGTCGCCCTCACCTTCTCCTCAGCTCACTCGAATCGCCGTACGCTGCGCGGCCCAGCGCGAGGACGAACCCATGAGGCAGCGACACGTCAGCCGACGCGAAATGCTGTTTGTGTCTGCGCTGCCCGTAGCGCTAGCGGCCGCGGGGCCGATCGGCGCGGCCGTCGCAGCAGACGGCGACAACAGTGCGACCGTGGCGACGGCACCATCGCCCGGCGACGTCCCTTTCGTTCAAGGCACGCCCGCCGCTCGCCTCGCTGCATGCGTCGCTCCGTCCGTGTCGTTCCCCGACCCCACCAGGGCCTGTTACTCTGCACGTGATTGCATGCCCTCTCTCCCCTATTCCCCTCCGCGTCGCCTCTCCCGTTTCGGTCCGCCTCCTCTCACATGCTCTCAATCGTGCGGTGCGCCTCCCGCGTCCTCCCCACCCCCCCCTTTGTTCGTCCCTGTGTGTCGTGGCGTGGGCATGCGCAGAGCTGCTGGAGAGGTCGCGGGCGAACAAGGCCAAGTACGACGAGGAGGTACCACACCGCGCCCTTCCCTGCCACGCATGCCATGCCTCTTCTCACACCGTCCCGCGCGTGCGAGCCCCGAGACTGCAATGCATCCCGCGCCCGCCGCATTCACCCTCATCCTCGCCTCACTCACCGCTCTCCCACATGCACCACCCATGATGTCCCTTGTGTTTCGCTCTTTGACGCGCGGTGCTGCGCACCCATGCACCGGCACTTTTTGACGCGCGGCAGGCTGGCCGTGCCATGCCTATGCTGCCGTCGCGTCCTCTCACTGTGGCGCCATGGCGTTCCCGTCCCCCCCTGGGCTGACTGCGCGGCGTGTGGCATGTGTGCAGCGGCTGAACGACTACTACCGGCGCAACTTCAAGGACTACTTCGACTTCGTTGGGGTAAGCTGCGCGCGGGCCGTGGGGGGCAGCGCGTGGGTGTCAGGGAGGGGCGAGGGAGGGATGGGGGGAAGGATTGATGGGGGGAGTGGAGTGATGGACGGTGGGAAGGATGGGGGAATATAGAGAGGAGGCGGGAGAGGGAGGGAGAGGAAAGGGATAAAAGGAGGAGGGAGCCAGGGAGAGGATGTGGTGGGAGGGATTGAGAGCCATGGTCATGCAGCGCCCTCATGCCCCATGCAGCACCCTGCCCATGGCACCGGTGGGGCGGCTGGGGGCAGCAAGCATCCAAGCCTGGGGTGATTGCAGGGGGTTCTTCCCACGTGGCATGGACCTCTGTGGCCTCCTGCACCACTGCTTGCTGCCTCGCTTCAATCCGTGCTGCACCGCTCTGCCCTCTCCCCCCCCCCCTCTCTTGCCCTCTTTTTCTCCCTCACACCCACACACATGCTCCCCACCTTCCCATCCTCCTCTCCCCCCTGCCCCACACGTCGCTGTGCATCATGGGTGACACAGGGCACGCTGCAGGTGAAGAGGGAGGACACGCTGACAGACAACGAGAAGGAGATTCTCAAGTGGATTGAGGCCAACAAGTGATGGCCCACTTGCCACCTGCCAACAGCGAAAGCCGAAATGAAGAGCTTGCTGTGATCAGTGCTGCCTTGTCCGGTATATTACTGAGGTTGATTTTTATTTAATCTCGTGCATTCCTTGTGCCTAAACCAGTGTAGGTTTGAGTTATTTGTTTCTATTTTGGGATAGTGATTAGTAAATTAATGCTAAAATCATTGCCCAAACCAAACCTCTCAACATTAAACTACCTCATTACACTTCAACCAATCTTTGTTCAGATTGTATGGGTACCATATGCCTCAAATCCTTCAGTACCTATACTAATATGAGAAAGTCAACGTTCCAACATGCATGAAGGAGCTTGACAATAATGATCCACCATTAGACACACTATTAGGCCGCCATGTACTATTCTAACCTCGCAAGAAGCCCCGAAGTAACTACACCGGGGGCATGTCCCAAAAATTACGGCGTTTTCTAGGAAACAATTCCACACAACTAGAAGAGGTAATGAAAATCCTGTCCCGTTGCTGTATGTGAAACATTGCTGGGGCAAGCACTTTAAACTCATGAGACAACCTTTGCCATTGTGGTGAGCGCGCAGCAGTGCGCAGCGGTGGCAGGGAGGGGAGGTGGTCAGAGGTAGAGCTGGATGAGCTCGTCACTGACAGCGGCGGGGGTGAGCACGCCCAGGTCCGTGAACAACAGCGTCAGCACGTCCGGTGGTGCATACTCCCTCTTCGGCCCCACCGGCGCTGCTTCTGCCCCCACCACGCCTGCTGCTCGCGCTGCTGCTGGCGCTGAGTCAGCAGCGGCAGGGAGGGAGGTTGGCGGGCGAGTGACGGAGGGCGGTGCGCTGATGCCCTGCTCCCAGTCGTTCTGGTCCAACGGAAACATGCGCGCGAACTGGCCTCCACGGGTGGGGGGGTGCGGAGGAGACAGGTGGGGGAGATGAGGGAGGAGATGAGCGAAGAGACAGGAGCGATGAAGGCAGCATGAAAGACACATTCCCTCTTTGCCTTCTTCCCCAACCCCACTCACATGCCCCTTACCTGCTCTTTCTGCCTCCATCACACCCCTCCCTGTTTCCCATTCATCTGCTGTTGTAAACCTTCATCTCTTCACCCCACCTTGAGCCCCTTCCTCTCCTCCCCTCCCCTTCCCTCCCAATCTATCCCTCTCTTACACCTTCCCTCCCGTAGTCCGTCCGTCTGCCCCTTCTGCCCCTTCTGCCCCTTCTGCCCCTTCCCTCCCCTCCCTCCCTCCCTCCCTCCCTCCCTCCCTCCCTCCCTCCCTCCCTCCCTCCCTCCCTCCCTCCCTCCCTCCCTCCCTCCCTCCCCTCTCGTTACCCCTGTCGCTCTGCCTCGCTGTCCTGGTCCACGTTCGACCCCTTTCCCACGGCCCACCCACAACGCCACAGCATCTCTGCAGGCCACACCCCCTCCGCCCACCCCGTGCAGGGGCGACCCCCCATGCAGGGCTGGTGGGGCAGCACAGCACGCACCTTGTAGCTCTCAGCGGCGACGTAGAAGGGCTTGCCCATGGCCTTGGCCACCATGGCCAGGGGGAACACGCCCACCGCCGACAGCACCCCGCCACTCTCCACCACGCCCTCTGCACCGCACAGCACCATGTCGCACCGCTGCACGGCCACACCCATGGCCGCGTCCACCACCACCGTCACCGGCACCCCGCCACGCTGCAGCTGCGCTGCCATGCGCTGCCCCGCTGCATCCATTCGACCCTCTGCGGTGGTGTGGTTGCAGGGCGTTACGCATGGCACAGGCCAGCAGTTAGATGGAATGATCAAGGAGCTCAAAGCTACTCTGCTTTCTACTTGAAATTAGAAGCACTGGTGATTTTCATGTGCATGCAGCGCGTGCGGAGCTCATGGTGACAACCACACATATCACATCGGGTTGGAGAGGAGGGAGCGAGGGGGAGAAAGAGGAGGGAAAGGTGGGGTAAGGGGATGGGCGAGGAGGAAGTGGGAATTGGGGTTTCCACTTGTGGTGTGCATGCGCAAGTGTGTAAGTGCACCTTGTGCGGTTACATGTGTGAACGTGCATGGACGTGGGGAGAGGGCGCGTGTGTGTGTGGGTGAGTTTGTGGGTATGTGTGTGTGGGTGGTTGGTTGGTTGAGGTGGTTTGGGTGCATGTGTGTGTGCGTGAGGGCAGCAGAGCAGCGGTGGCAGGCAGCGCACCGGTGGCAATGACGGAGAAGAACTTGCCGCGAGCAGCTGCCTCCGACAGAAGAGCCAGCACCACCTGCCAGGGAGCACCAACAGGGGAGCGCCATGTGCGTGCTGCCATTTGCTTCTCTACAGATTGGTTCCACTCCACTTCAGATTGTAAGCACAAGCAGGGTGGGCCGGGGGAGGAGCGCACGGGCACAAGGAAGGGACGAGCAAGCACGGAGCCATGCATGAGGGTGTGCACGCATGACAGTTCGTGGCACTGCCATCCGCCATGCCATGTATGTGCTGCACGTGCCACATGCAGCCGCAGGGGGGGCGTGCGCGCAGGGGAGGGGAGGGGAGGGCGGGGAGGGCACCTGGGAGAAGCCGTGAGTGAGGATGACACAGCCGTCCGCGATGAACTCCTGCCCCAGCATCGCTATCGTGCGCCGCGCCTGTCGCCGTGGTGCCACGCAACAGGAGGAGGCGGGGGTGCAGATAGGCGTGGGGGAAGCGTGAAGACACGAGGAAGAGTGCACATGTGGGAGGCAAGCCGGTGACAGGTAAGGCAGCAAGCAAGCAACAAGAAATGAGCCGGAGAAGCAGAGAGCGAGGAGATGAAGACAGGCAGGAACGAAAAGGAGGAGCACAGGAGGAGGGCGCAAGGAGGGGCGGTGGGAGAGGGGTGGGCGGGCATGCAAGGAGCGGAGCGCACGTTGAGGGAGATGCCGCTGAAGCGCTGCCCGCGCTCGATGAGGCGCGCCCTGGCGGCGGGCAGGTCGTCCGCCTCCACGGACGTGCGGCTCACGAAGCACAGGAAGATGTCGCACGCCGCGCGCAGCGATATGCACCCGCTGCTCTCCCGCTGCCACCGGGGCCACGCGTAGTGGGGAGGGGGGAGGGGGACAGAGAGGCATGGCGTGGATGATGAGCGAGGGACAAACAGGCACGCGCACACGGCATGCGTTGTGGGGAGGGGGGGCAGAGAGCCCTGGAGCCTCGCCTCGCTGCTCTTCTCGCTCCCCTTAACCATCCCTTCCCTCCGTGTTTCCCTTTGCCGCCACGCATCCCGTGCTGCCATCCCCGCGTCACCCCATTCGCCATCACCCAGACGCGCCGCACCTTGAGGTCGTCGCACGCGCGGCGCAGCTCCACCTCGAGCCCCATCACCGTCGTCGCCTCGCTGCGCTCGATCACGGCCGTCAGCGCCTTCACCGCCGCCACCGCCACGGCCGTCGTCGGGTCGTCCTTGCGCCACCGCCCGAACTCCTTCAGCACGCTCCACTCCCCTCCGCTAGTCAGCCCCGGCGCTGCCGCGTCGTGCGCGTGCGCGCTGTGCGTCGCGCCGTGTGTCCCCGCGGAATGCAGCGCCATCGCCGCTGGAGCTGCCATCTCGCCCGCGCCCCTCGGCGCCACCACCTCCCTGCCGGTCGCCGCCGCCGCCTCCGCCTGCGCCACCGTAAACCCTAATCCCCGCGCAACGCCCGTCGGCACACCCCAGCCGTGCTTCACCACCCAGAAATCCTGCGACTCCGCGGAAAACCCCCCCACTCCGCCTTGACTCGAGTGACCCGCCCCCCCGCCCCCGCCCGACCCTCCCTCCGCGACCTCTGTGCTTACTCCTGCTTCCGCCGCGCCTGCGCCTGCAGGCTCGCTCCCCGCACCGAAAGCTGCCGACTCACCGGTGGCGGGGGCAGCGGCGCGGAGCGCGGAGGAGAGACTGGAGACCCGCGCAGGGCGCGCGGGATGCGAGCGGGCTGGCGGGAGAGACGCGGAGGGGTCGTGGTGCATGGGGTGATGGGCGATGCGCGCAGCGCAGCGCTAACGGGCGCTGGCGCACGGGAAGACTGGGGTGAGGCACTGCGAGGGGGGAGAGGGGGAGACGAGCTGCTGCGGGGGAGTGAGGGATTCGTGGCGGCTGGCGAGCGAGGGACCTGGGCTGAGCAATACGATGCAGTATGTCGTGGACTGGCACAACAGGAGACAGGTGAGAAACACGCTAGCATCCACCAGGAACGCCTAGATCATGATGGTGCAATAGCCCCCTCACGGCTGAATCTAGGGTTTACTACCGGGCATTTTTGGGATGGTACACATAATGCTCATTTGAGCCCCCCCATGGTTGCCTTGAGCATTGGGCTTATAAGTGCTTTTTGCATTTCTCAAGCTTCGTCTACGTCGCAGCTAGCAAAAAAGGGCTTATAAAATTCTCAAAAGCTACACGTTGACAGTTGACGTCGGTCTCTTCATTACCATTGGTTCATCTCATTGCATTGACAGTTGACGTAGGTCAGTATTCGTTACCACTAGTTCGTAACCACTGCAACTTGCTCGAGGGGCTTGTAAACTGGGTGCAACTGGCCGGCCCCAAAAATACGCGTGCAGGCTTTCTGAAATGTGCGGGGCAAATTCGCGTGCATTACCCCAGCATCAGCTGTACTAGAAAACAGTTAGGGCGCGGTGCTTTTACATTTGTGTTCTAAACAAGGGTCTAAGGGCGTGAAACCATTTTGCATTTGCTTGAAGTTGTGTTTAAAAACGAACGTTCGACAAATGGACGGTTCCGTTTCCCATATGAACCGTCCGTTCACCGAAACAGTACTTCTGGAAACGAACCGTAGAGTAGTTTTTTTTTGCAGTTTTGAATTTTGGCGAGGCCCTGCGATGTTACGCTGGGTGGCGGGTTTCGTAATTTACACAGGAAAAAGGCGGCTCGGGTTTGAAATTCGAATCACTGAACACAACCACCAGCAACACTCTCAGCATGCTGGAGTTGGGAGATATAATTCCGAGCAGTACAGAAAACTATTCAAACCTTGACACCACCAGGGATGTCCGCCCGCCATTTCCTAGCACTGCCGGGAATACTCTACAGGGGCTACCTGCAGCTCTTCGTGCGCGCCACGTATGTGCAGTTAGCGACTCTCATTCCGCTACTCATCGAAGCAGAAAACGAGGATGATTTCATGCAGGCCGACCGAGAAATGCAGAGAGAGCGCTGGGATGGTCTAATACAAGGAATGCCCACAACGGTTTTCAGTGACTGTTTCAGAATGAACCGAACTGTCTTTGATTACTTGGTGGGTGCTTGGATAGCTAAGAACGGAGACCGACGGTGCGTCATCCCTATTGAGACGTGTGTCGCGATGACACTCGTATAATTGGGGACGGATGCTACCTTTAGACAGCTCGGTTTGCAGTTCGGAGTAGTGCCTCAACACGCAAGACGCATTATTCTAGGGTTTATCGGTTTCCTTTACGAGGTGCTACTGCCCCTATGGGTTACTTGGCCTTCAAACGAGCAACTCGAGGAGATGGCCGATGAATTCAGGTACGAAGGCGGCATACCGGGGATGGCGGGCGCAATGGATGGAACTTTTATAAGATGCCGTGGGTTTGGTAAGGACAGAGAAGATTTCAAGATCAGGAAGGGTTTCTACTCTACGATGTTGCAATTAATCTGCGACTCCAATGGCATAATATGGGACCTGGTTGGCAGGGTGGCCAGGAAGCGTGAATGCCGCCAGGGTGTTTAGCAACTCGCTGGCGAAGAGGAGGATCGAAGCAGGCGACCTCGGGAACTACATGCTGGTCTTCGACGCTGCTTACGGGCTCTAGAGTTACACATGCGTCCCGTACCAAGCTACGCCAGGTCAGAGCCTGCCAGACCACGAGGACAAATGGAATACACAACAGTCAAGACAGCGCATGATAATTGAGCAAGTCAACGGGTAAGTGGCGTATTTTAGATGAACGCATGGAATGCGACACACTGAGGGTACCTCGAATGATTGGCGCTTGCGTGGCGCTGCATAACATTGTTCTTACCATCGGGAGCTGCGACCGAATGGGCCCAGAGCGAGTGCGCCACCGGTGGTGGCTGGAAGGACCTGCTGCTGCACTCACACTTACCGGGCCTGAGGTGGCGGGTTTCACTCCTCGTCATCGGAGGAGGAGGCGGACGGCGTGTCTCTACGCCTCCTGGATCGTCGCTCATCCTGAAAGGACCGTGCAGCCGCCCAGGTAAGTTTCTCAAACTTCTTCCAATTTTTGTCTTCGCGCTCATCGAGGTGTGTTGTTAGATCGCGCATGGCATCGGGTTTAGCCTCCTTCTTCTTTTTGGTCTGTGCATGGCGGCATACCCCTGCCCTCTCTTTCCTCCCGCCGTCCTTGGTATTGTTGTCCGAATTGCGCGGATACGGATACCACGCGTTACGGGAACAACCTTTCTGCCCATCAGACGACGCACGCGCCCCCCAAGTGAGGTGGTGGCCTCTCATCGAGACACCCGCCGTTGCACCGAAGACGCCTAAGACGCCATCTGTGGCAGCAGTTGGCGCGCCAGTATGGGCGATGGTGTCTGGAGACAGCGGGGACGGAGTGGGCAGACGGTTACGCGACGGAGAAGGTGTTGGAGGCGCCGGGCTTGCAGGCGGCGCCCGAGTAGCTTTCGGGGATTTAGTCGTAGGGATGGCGTCTGGCGCGACAGGTGCTGGCGTCACCGCGGAGGATGGAGGGGCTGGAGCAGGGGGTGCAGCGCCTTGTGGAACGTTGGCAGGGTCCAGGGCTACAGGTAGTCCCGAACCTGCCAAAACGGGAGGGACGGTACTGGGGCGCTCACCCCAGAGGCCTTCCGCCAGCTGGTACAACATCGGGAAATTGCGCGCGCGGGTGGCCTTTGAGCGATTGACCCCCTCCCGCAGCCGACGCCACTACTCCTTCAGATGGGCGAATTTCGCCTTGGTCGAAGATACGTCGTGGGGCCAATTGGGATGGCGCTCCAGGAGTTTGCGCTGGATGAGAGGGTACCAACTCCTCCCTTGCTGGCCCGTGCGTCGACGAATGGCGTCGTCCAAATCCCAACGGGCGGCCAGGAGTTCGAACTCCTCGTTGACAGACGAACTCTGATGAGCGGCGAGCGGTACCGGCAGTGGTGCCAGTTGCAGCAGCGGACGGGTCGGTTTCCTCATCCAGCTCAGAGTTGGCGCGCTGTCATCGGTAGCTCCCAGGAAGAGGCCGTAGTCCTCGTTGTCGTCGTACGGGGCCGTTGGGGAAGGGAGGCGGTTTCCCCACCGGTTGGGGTCGTCAGTAGCATTGGTGGTAGTCGCAGTAGCTCCAGGAGTATTAGTAGTAGTAGGTGCTCCAAGAGTAGTAGTAGTAGCAGCAGTAGGAATCACAGACTCTTGAGTCTCGTGATTGTTGTTTGCAGCTGCATCAGGGTCAGTGGGCTTGGTAGAGGTGGCACCACCAGGGGTGGGAAGCGGTTGGGAGCTGTCCCCGACGCTAGAGTAGTTATCCATAATGGTGGGCTGGTAGAAGTGAGATGCACTGTTCGGTTCGTTTGCGTGTATTTCTACATTTTGTGTGGGTGGAGATGCACAATCTCATGGCACTTCAATTCCCGCCAATGTCTTCCCGAGGCGCATTCCTGCCAAAAATGAAGTGGCAGTGTCATTTGTTGCCGCAATGTCAGCGTGTTTTCGCGCGCCAACCACAATTCGCCCAATTCGAGCAGCCCGTTTATGACGAATCGAAACCGTGTGGGTGCTCGATTCCCTCTCCTTTCGGCCAAAAGTTCCACACGATTATGTTGCGACTGCGACGTCGCATGGTTACTAGCGAAACCCTCGGCGAATATTAACGATACAAGTTACCACTCTTTCGAAGGGACGGTCCGAATAACGAACAGTCGGATGCAAAATGTTTACACGCCCTAACTATTGCTGGTTATCGGCTTTGCCAATGTCGCCACAATTGCCGTGGGATGGAAATACCATGTTAGAAATTCCTGTTGGAAAGTCAAAACACCGCTTTGATGGTCGAAGCGGCGATCGATCGTGCGCTCGCACGCACATGAGGATGTGGTCACTTCCGGCCACGTTCGGCAAATGCATGATATCTACACTAAAATTTTCGAAGAAGGCGCCAGAGCCATGTTGGTTACACCGGGTAATCTACTTGGTCCAATCGCAGCGCGGAGAGGCTCGATTCTCATTTTTTAGATTCTCGATGGTCACATTTTGGCCTTGTTCTGTGGGCAGACCTGCCTCCGCATAAAATGTACCTTGTACGTCCTTCCGAGTAGCTGCGTGACGCACCCAATTGAATCTGCTGCATGGGGCCTTGCTCGGCTGGCGCATCAGCATGCACGGCTACATAAAAACGGCACACTCGAACATCCTTGACAAGCTTATGACATGTTATCAAGGCTCGAGAAAGGTGGATGGTTACTGAAGCTAACCGGTTCAGGAGGACTACCAAACATCCTTCATGGCCCCTGATTTTTAAACCGGGCGAGGGTTCCAGGAAACATCATCGCCTGGCAAGCTGGCGCATAAGTGAGGATGGCCAACCATGTAATTGCGAAAAGGTGCACTCCATGCGCTGTATGACTTCCGCGAAGGCTGGAACATTTTGGATGTAAAAAATACAAGAGGTGACGAAATCGTCTTAGAGTTGCGCAGCAATGTTTTGTAAGAAGCATCGAATATTTGATGATTTTGTGCAAATTAAGGTTTACATAGATAGTGGGTGTGCTGAAACAAACAATTATCTTGGTACTATAAATCGGTGTCAATTGACAGCTGTGACAATATCGACAAAGCAGTGTTTTTGGTGAGGCGAAATTACTGAAGTCAACTTACAATCTCACGCGTGTTTTGTTTTTTTTTTTTTGTTTTTGTTTTTTTTTTTTTTTTTGTTGCGAAATTGCTGAAGTCAGCATCGCGCGCGAAATGTACATCGCGCGCGAAATGTACATCGCGCGCGAAATGTACATCGCGCGCGAAATG